AGCCCTGCACCTTGTTGTCTCGGATTCTCCAGCATCTGCAGTTCCTACTATCTCTGATTCAATTTTAACCCCACTGCGAAGCCTCTTCTAAGGATGCCTAGCCTGAAGAAGTTACCCTCCTCCGTCTGGACAAACCTCAGGAGATCTCTCTCCCACTGCAACTCTCTCGTAATCTCTTCGGCCCTGAAACTGCTCGACCATGTCCTGAAGCAAACCAGGTACTACAGCCACATCACCTTTCTTAGTACCTGCCTACGGAACCAGATCATCCCCAATGGACTACAGTCCACATTCAAGCCTTCCCAGTTTGGCCCCAACCGTGACAATATCTACACTCATGGCATTGAGATCCTTCAGAAGCGTTTCTCATATACTGACTTTGTTAATGCAAAACACCAGTTACCTAGTTAAACACAATGTTCTTGCCCTGGTATCGAAGCATCTGTAAAGTCTTTTAATTAAGAACCAAGCTGTAAATAACTTTCTGGCCTGGCCTTGCAAAGAAACCACAACTTGTTGTTCTGTTTTGTTTTAGTTTTAACACAATCTGTTGCCACAGTTGAAAGGCCATTTTCATCTGACACATCTCAGTTCATGGCTCCAAACGAAACTTAATAAAATAATAAACTGGAAATAATGAAAAATCAGCAAGGGCTCTAACGTACCTCCAACCTTAAAAGATGGAACGCCATTTTAAAAAATGCATTTCATGACAAGGTTAGTAATACTTAAACGACAAACAAAACACAAAACTCACGGCCATTCATTTTTCCTATTTTGATGCCCATTCAACTTTCTTAGTCACATTCTTAACTTCACCATAATTTACATTTGGAATAAGGCAACAGCAATTATGTTTTCTTTCCCCAAAAACAAAAGAACTGCCAATGGTTCCACAATGGTTCCTTTTCTACAGTTAAGTAGTTTTCCTGGAGGTTCAACATTTTTGAAAAATAAGCCCTGGCCTTCTCTGTTTCAGCCTTGTCACCCTGTAAAGGAACTGCTCCAGTCCCCAAATTGCTAATTTAAATGGTTTGTTAAAATTAGGTACAGTTAATACAGGTTCATTTATTCAAATTACTTTTAGCTTTTCAAAGGCTGCCTGGCGTTCTGTCAACCAAAGCATTTTTGTTTGTTTTCATAGCAAATTAGTCAAAGTATAGCTACTTGCTAAAATTAGGCACAAACTTTTGATAAAATCCGCACATTCTCAAGAACCTGTCTTTCCCTCATTTTGTTTTTGGGGTAGGAAAGTCAAAAAAAGTTTTTACTTGTCATCTAAGTAAACTATGCAATTAGGTAATTCAGTTATGACTCTATTCATTAATCATTGAAATGTGGCTGGGGCATTCTTAAATCCAAATGATGTAACCTGATGTTGGTAAAATACATTGGGTGTGACAAATGCAGAGATTTCCCAAACCCCCTCTATCAGCAGTATTTGCTAACATCCTTCTTAACAAATTAATTTTAGTTAGGCTTGGTGATGCATCATTCTTATCAATGCAATCTTGGTGTAGTTGATGAGGACAGTGTCGTGGAAGTTTTACTGTGTATCTAACCCCATGCTGTCCTTCTCCTGGAAGTGTTTGTAAAGGAAGCTTTACTCTATATCTAGCCCCTTGCTGTCCCTATCCTGGGAGGGCTTGATGGCAGAGGGAGCTTTGCTCTGTATCTGTAAACATGTTCTTCCATTCCTGGGAGTCTTTGATGGGAAGAGTGTAAAGAAGCTTTACTTTCAGTTTAAGAGTAGAGGGAGCAATGTTCGAGGTATAATTTTCCTGCAGTGCCATTATTCTTTCAATGAAGCAGATGAGGTGGTCCTCTCTTTGGTGACTGTGATGTTAGAGCAGGCATTCTTGGGCTATGAGAACATGACTCATGATCCTTTTTTTTTCTTTCATCATTAATGGGATGAGGGTGTTGCTGGCTAGGTCAACATTTATTGCCCATCCCTAAATGCCCAGAGGGCAGTTAAGAGTCAGTCACATTGCTGTGAGTCTGGAGTCACATGTAGGCCAGACCAGATAAGGATGGCAGTTTTCTTCCCTAAAGGACATTAGTAAGCCAAATGGGTTTTTCCAACAATCGACAATGTATTCATGGTCATCATTAGATTCTTATTCCCAGATATTTTTATTGAATTTTTATTAAAATTCTACTATCTGCTGTGGCAGGATTCGAACCCAAGTCCCCAGAACATTATCTGGGTCTCTGGATTAACAGTTCAGCGATAATACCACCAGGCGATCACCTCTGCTGAGGATATGACTGATCTGTAAGCTCAGCATCTGAAATGAGCTGTTTTTATGTCTGTATCTTTGGCAGCATCATTCTATACAGCAAGGTTGGAGAGCCAGGCCAGGTGCAGAAGGCAGTGGACAGTTGGCTAAAGCGTTGTACCAGTCCAAGTCCTCTGGGCTGTGGCTCAGGGCTGGTATTGGAGTTATACCTGCTACATGTGCTGCTACCACTTGGGCTGTACACAGAGGCAGAAGAATTGATTCAAGGTACAGCATTGCTGACAGAGCAGCAGCGGGGACCAGCATTACAAGTCATACAGAATAGGAGGCCTCAGCAGCCTGAGCAGGACTCAGCAGGAAGCAGGTGCCAGCTTGCAGCAGACTCCAGCCAGCAGTGTCATCCAGGTAACTGTTGATATTTGGAGTCGTTCTGTTTGTGTTTCACTCTATAACTCAGTGTCCACCTTCATCCAGCAGCACTGCAGCTACTAGTCCTGCAAGCTTCTTTTTCGCCTTTCCCCATATTGGCAAATCAGTTATCAGCATCCCTCGCAATGCACCGGTCTCGATAAAGAGCTCTCAGTAGGGTAATGAACCATGAAGTGACGCAACCTATGGTGGGAAATGTGTTTTGGAAATCAGTTAGAAAGAGGGAGAGAGTGTGATTTCACTTGTGACTGGCTTTCGCAGCTCTGTTCCAACTGCTTTCATTCTTGTCTGTTCAGTATCAAATTGCTACCTTAAATTGATCCAAAACCTGTTGCTGGTCAGTTAGTGTTCTTTTCCTCAAAGATACCTGCTTCCGGTACAGAAAGTATCAAATGCACCTTTCAGCAAGTGAACATCACACAGTTCAACATTCCTTTGAAAACAAAAACTAACATCCAAACTTCTTTTCCAATTTGTATTTCCAAATAAAATCCGTAATCGTTACAGAAGACGGTGAAAAAGAAATCTCACACTAAAACCAGTCCTTTTTTGTGTGAGTGACATTGTGGTGATTCACACATCCCCATAGTCTCTGTCAAACAGTGTAATCAGTTAACATTGGCAGTGAGTGGATCAGAGGAGTGCAGGAGCCAACTTGTCCTCCGTCTGAGGGATTGTATGAATACATCCAACACTAAAACTGAGGAAAGGCTAATCCTTATTGTTCATGAGCTGTAATTTTCCCAGAGTTCTTTGAGAGCAGGTTTTATTTAGGAAGATCGGTTTATCAGGTCCCCTTCCCTCCTGGTTTAGTTTTATTTTCTAAACAACCTGTTCAGAGATGTTAGTACATGACTCTGGAGCAAGCGGGACTTGAACTCAGGCCTCCTGGCTTGGAGGTAGGGATAGTATCTTTACACCACAAGAACATAAGGACATAAGAACTAGGAGCAGGAGTAGGCCGTCTGGTCCTTTGAGCCTGCTCCGCCATTCAATAAGATCATGGCTGATCCTTTCGTGGACTCAGATCCACTTACCCGCGTTCTCACCATATCCCTTAATTCCTTTATTGTTCAAAAAAAATCTACTTTTTTTTAAAAACTTTTACTGAAGTAGCGTCAACTACTTCACTGGGCAAGGAATTCCATAGATTAACAACCCTCTGGGTGAAGAAATTCCTTCTCAGTTCAGTCCTAAATCTGCTCCCTCTAATCTTGAGGCTATGCCCTCTTGTCCCAGCTTCACCTGCCAGTGGAAACATCCTCTCTACTTCTATCTTATCTATTCCCTTCATAATTTTATATGTTTCTATAAGATCCCCCCTCAATCTTCTGAATTCCAATGAATATAATCCCAAACTACTCAGTCTCTCCTCATAAGCCAACTCCCTCAACTCCGGAATCAACCTAGTGAACCTTCTTTGCACCCCCTCCAGTGCCAGTACATCCTTTCTCAAGTAAGGAGACCAAAACTGCACACAGTACTCCAGGTGTGGCCTCACCAGCACCTTGTACAGCTGCAACATAACCTCTCTGCTTTTTATTTCAATCCCTTTAGCAATGAAGGACAAAATTCCATTTGCCTTCCTGATTACTTGTTGTACCTGCAGACCTACCTTCTGTGATTCATGCACAAGGACACCCAGGTCCCTCTGCATAGCAGCATGCTGCGACTTTTTACCATTCAAGTAATAATCCTTTTTACTATTACTCCTACCAAAATGTATGACTTCACATTTATTTACATTGTATTCCATCTGCCAGACCTTTGCCCACTCACTCAATGTATCTATGTTCCTCTGCAAAGTTTCACAGTCCTCTGCACACTTTGCTTTGCCACTCATCTTAGTGTCATCTGCAAGAGGGCCCTGCCCAGTTTTATAAATGAGATGTCGAAGACATCTGCTCAAAACACTTCATAGATATGTGTTCGAGCAACTGGAGTAATCATTCAGCTCAGTTCAGCAGCCTCTTGATCGTTTATTTCCAACAGCGATGAACAGCGTGTGTGTCTCGTGATTTCTGAAAGATCAGAGGGACACAAACTAACCTGTTTTGAATCTCGTAGCTCTTCCTCAGAACCTTCTCCACCTCCCTTCTCTGCTCTACCTCTTCCCTGCAGCTCCCCCCTTAATCTTGATACCCACTTATCCTTGCCCCTCCCCCCTCTTGCCCCTCCCCCGGTCCCACCTTCTGCTAGTCCTCCCCTGCTCTTTCAGCCACCTCCAGCTCTTCCTGTCTGCTTCGACAGTAACATCCCTACCCAGCTCCACCAGCGCCCCTATCCCCCTACTCTGCTGGCTTTCTTTCCCCCTCTGACAGCACCCCCCTGCTCTGCTGTGTCCCCACTCTGCTTCTCCAGCACTCCTCTCCTTGGTCCGAATGTTTTCCCCTCCGCATCGTTGCCTGACTCTGACTCTGCACCCACACAGCAGTTACTCCAACCTTTAGTGATGTCTTTGTTGCCTTCAGAATCAAGTAATCATAGTCCAGAACAGACTGTCACAGTTCTAACAGCATTGAGGTGCTTGGTATAATGTTGTCTTATTTGTCTCCCTTTGCAGTACACAACTCGCTGTTTAAAACTCTGCAGCAAGTGCTGATGTTGTCCTGGAGGTTTTTGCATTTGGTGCCTGTTCGCAAGTTGTTTTTAGCTGCACTTTTGGCCTACATGCTGATTGTCAGGCTGGACCCTGGTGAGTGTGTTTTTACATCTCTTCAAATGGTTGCTGATGTCCTTCCCTGAGCTCAGATGCTGCTTTTCTTAGGACAGATAGTAGGAAGCAGATCAGCTGACTCGTGGCCAGCTTTTCCAGTGTTCTGCCCCTTCTGACAATGTCACAACTGGGATTGGTTGCTGGGAGTGTGAAACAGCAAACTATGGCTGTGACTGCTCAGTTAGCTGCTTATTTTTCTAAATGACTTCAATAATGACTCGTTAGTTTCATTGACTTTTAAAGTTAGAAACATTTCCAGGGCCAGATGGAATGTATCCCAGGCTGGTGAGTGAAGCAAAGGAGGAAATTGCAAGGGCACTGAAATAATTTTCATTCTAACCTCTGGTGGGGAAATATTGGCAGCAATTCTGAGGTACAGAAATAATCTGATTTTGAAGAGACTTCCAAGAGGGACATGAGGGAACAGAGAGTGGAGGACAGACGTCTTGGACGGTTTCATCCATCAGTGCATGAGCAAGTTTTGTCTAACTAACTTGATGTGAATTTTCAAAGAGGTGACCAGGTGTATAGATGAGGGCAATACTTTTGATGTAGTCTACTTGGACTTCAGCAAGGCTTTTGATACCTTAAGAGCCCATGAAAATTTGGCTAATTGGATACACAATTGACTGACTGTTAGGAAGCAGAGGGTGATGGTTGAAGGGTGTTTTTGTGACTGGAAGCCTGTGTCCAGTGGGGTCCCAAGGGGGCTTAGTGTTGGGGCCCTCACTGTTTGTGGTTTATATAAACAATTATAATGAATGTAGGAAGGTTGATCAGTAAATTCACAGATGATACGAAAATTGTAGGGCGATTAAATATTGAGGATGGCCCTAGATTACAGGACAATGGAGATGAGCTGATCAGTGGCAAATGGAATTCAATTTGGATAAATGCAAGATTATGCACTTGGGCAGTACAAACAAGGCAAGGGAATACAAACAAGTGGTAGGACCTGGGAAGTACTGAGGATCAGAGGGAACCTGGTGTGCATGTATACTGACCCCTCAGGGTATCAGGATGGAGATAAAAGGCGTAGCTGAGGCATGTCTTTTATTAGCTGAGGCATAGAGTTTAAGAGCAGGGAGGTTATGTTGGAACTGTACAAAACATTGGTTAGGTCACAGCTAGAGTATTGTGTGCAGTTCTGGAATCCACATTATCGGAGGGATGAGATTGTATGGAGAGGTTGCAGAGGACGTTTACCAGGATGTTGCCTGGGATGAAAAGTCTGTTATGAGGAAAGACTTGGATAGGTTGGGTTTGTTTTCCTTGGAGCAGATGAGGCTGAATGGGGATCTGATTGAGGTGTACAAAATAATGAGGGGCATAGATAGGGTAGTAGATTGGCCAGAGAACATAAGTTTAAGGTGAGGAGTAAGTTGCTTAGAAGGGATCTAAGGAAAACCATTTCTCATGCAGAGGTTGTTAGAAATATAGAAAGTGCTGCTTGAGAGGTGATGGCGGCAGGTACACTTGCAACTTTTTAAGAAGCATCTGAATGAGTACTTAAAATGCCAGGACATTAGTAGCCTATGGACCAAGTGCAGGTAAATGGGCACATCAGCTGTTTAACAGTCCTGTTCAGTCAGTTCACTCCCCATATTTTCTCAGCAGCCCTACACAATTCTCCTTATCAAGTATTTATCATGGTGCCATTTTAGGAATGAGTTTTTTCCATTTCTTCGCTCTCAGTCTTCTCAAACCTGCCAGTCTTGAGGTTCATAGCTAGTCTGATCAGTACAATTGACTGTTTATCAAACTGCCAATGGTCTTACTTGTTTCTCCTGCTCTCTCTCTCCAAAGCTTCTCCGGCGGCCTTGCCGTGGGTCCGTAGCCTCCACAACGTCATCAGGCAGATGTGGAAGACTATGTTTGCTCGCTTCAACAAGGCAAGAATTGGCAAGTGAGCCTTGATGTGTACTTCAGCCCAGGAGGGTCTAGTTCTGGAATTGGAGGCTGTTGTTCATGCAAAATTCAGTGGCTTGGGTAATGAGTCATTAACTTCACAGGCCTCTTCACACCTTGTAGGGGAGGCTAACTTGGCACCTAACTATGGCCCTAGGAGTGCCAGCTAACTTCACTCAGAGCCACCATGTTCTAAGTCTTTGAATTGTGTGTGTCATTGTCCAACTGCGGCCAATCCTGTCTCAAACAATGATAAGCTGTCATCCCCACTCTAGTGATGCTGTTAATTGTGTCATCATGGAATTTATTTTGATCACTTGAACACTTTAAATTTGCAGTTCTGAGTTCATTACTGCCTGTAAAAATGGTGATGAACCATGCTACCCATTATCAAGTCTGTTTTTTGCAGCAATCATGTGGAGCAAATTAGAGAAGTGTTGCTGCTTTCCTCAACCTTCCACGACAAGAGATCTTCCCAGTCTCCCTCTAGTGTGTAACATGGGATTGATTGCGTCTGCCTTTTTATTGCTGCTGTTACTCTGGAGATGGGATATTGCTAATAAGTGTATCGAAGGGGTGTATTGTGAGGGAATTGTGCTCATCAGAATGTGTACAGCAAATCAGTGCAATATAGGTACAAAAAGGAAGCGATCCTGATGTTTCTGGAACTCTGCCTTGGGCAGTGCAATGCATAGGCTCTATTGCCAAGCCTGAGACAGTGGCCTGACTAAACAGTGCCACACTGGACATTGGCCATCAGCTCCTTGCTTTGCACCAAGAAACGGAACACATCTAACATGTTACAAACAGAAAAAGTCAAATTAACTTGTCTCTGGGAACATGAGTCTCCTCTTCACCCACCAGATAGCAGAAAGATATGATGGGGGCAGTCTGATTGATTATGAGTTCATTTTAAGATGTGGCAATAAAAGTTCCAGCTAAACTTGAAATATGTGGTGTGTTTTTTTTTGTTGCCAGGGATTGATCTTGCTGAGGTGGTGGATGAGGCAAGGGTTTGGGTGGGCGGTGGGGGCTGGCAGTGGCAAGAAAGAGTAGGTGGTGGTGGGATGGGAGTGTTGATTAGTGGCAATGGTGGGGGTGGGGTGCTATTTTTGAATGTGGGAGGTGTGTATTAGGGGTTATCTAGAACCAAGCGACAGATAAGGAGGCCGGCCATTTAGGACCGAGGTGAAGAGGAAGTTTGGCACTGAGATGGTGGGGAATCTTTGGATTCTTTTATCATGAAAATGGTAATGGTCTCTCAGGCCTGCAATATCAGTTGGTCCAGGCCCACTGTTTTTAAAAAAAAAAAATGTGAAAGTCTTGCAGGTGTTGGTACTCAGACAGAGCACCAGTAGCCACTGCTGCTTTGGAGCTTGCAGTGAAAGAAAGTGGGATCATGGCTCTCAGCTTGGGAAACCCTGATATGTCTTGATCTTGTTTACCTCTATTAGATCTCCCTTCAACCTCCCTTCATGCAAGGAGAACAACTTCAGCTTTTCCAATCTCAATTTGTAGCTAAGTGAATCCTCCCTGGAACTATCCTCTACGCTGTCTCGTCAGCTCTCACATCCTTCCTGAAGTTTGATTACAAGACCAGGATGTGATATTCTAGATTTTTAGCATTTTTTCCATGGGTGTGAGCATTGTTGCCCATCCTTAATTGCCCTTGAACTGGAGGTTTTCTAGTTCATTTCAGAGGGCACAGAATCATACAGAACAGAAGAGAGACCCTTTGGCCCATCATGGCTGTACTGCCACAGCTACACTCGTCACACTTTGCAGGACTAGGTCCAGAGCTTTGAATGTAATGGTCCTTAAAGTTTACATCCAAATACATTTTAAAGGTTGGGAGGTTTCCCACCTCAACCTACCCTCCCAGGCAGCGCATTCCAGATCCCCACCACCCTCTAAATTCCCTCTAAACCTCCTGCGTTTCAACTTAGAATTATGCCCCCTTGTTATAGATGCTGCTTCCCATCCACCTTGACCATGCCCCTCCATCTTCTACACTTCACTCATGTTTCCCCCTCAACCTTCTTTGCTTCAAAGAAAGCAATACAAGCTTATCCAGCCTCTCTTTATGGTTGAAATGCTCCATCCCAGGCAACAATCTGTTGAATCTCCCCTGCATTCCCTTCCAATGCAATCACATCCTTCCAATTGTGTGCTGTCAGAACTGCACCCAGTACACTCAGCTGTAGCCTAAAGGCCTATACAGCTCCACATGACCTGCCCTTATAATGTATGCTTTGATTGATTAAGGCAAGTGTCCCATATGCCTTCCTAATTAACTTATTAACTTGTCCTGCCACTTTCAGGGATCTGTGGATAAGCACTCCAAGATCCATCTGTTCCTCTAAGCTTCCCCCTAATGTCCTGCAATTCATTGAATACTCCCTTGTCTTGTTACTTCTTCCAAAGTGTATTACCTCACACTTATCAAGATTAAATTCCATGTCACTTATCTGGCCATCTTTTTGTTGTAAAGCTCTTGTTTTATGGATAATGAGTGTGAGCAGAAAAATGAGTCAGAGACACGAATTGAATTCAGTCTAAAATTGTAACTTTAGTGCTTTTACTGATCAGCAATAACTACACCAAAATGCAAAAACATAGAACTAATTAACTATACTACACAATGTTAAACATTAAAGACATAGAGGGAGACTACTGTTACAGTGTAGAGGTCTAAGCGCTCAAACTAATCTCCAGCTAAAACAGCCAGAGAAGACATATTACCTGCACTTAGGCAGCCGTATAATGATTCTTCTCTTGACTTTAGTCTCCAGGAATTCTCAATTGTAGAGCATGTGGAAAGAGGCCAATCAGCCCATCAAGTGTGTGCCAATCCTCCAAAAAGCATCCCATCCAGACCCCCACCCTATCCCCATAGCCCTGTATTTCCATGGCTAATCCACTTAGCTTGCATACCCCTGGACAGTACGGACAATTCAGCATAGCCAATCCATCCAACAGGCATATCTTTGGACTGTGGGTGGAAACCAGAGCACCCAGACAAAACCCATGCGGACATGGGGAGAATGTGCAAACTCTGCCCAGATGGTTCCCCCGAGGTGGAATCGAACCTGGATCCCTGTTATTGTGAGGCAGCAGTGCTAACTAATAAGCCACTCAAATGTTGGTCCGCAGTTATGGCTCTTAATTTGTTGAAACACCAGTGATCTTGTACTGTTTTCTTAGTTTGGAAAATGACTACAAACCGCTGGCTGTTGATCACAGACATGGTAATCAGCATCTGGCCTTTTATTCAAATATGATCATGTCTTGGTCATGAAACATGATCCAGTCTTGCAAATGGTCTCCTCTTCTGTTAGTTGCTTATTCCATTCGTGGCCTGTCTTTGCAATGCTTTTCAGTTTGTTTCCACTGAGGCAGGTCCAGGCATCTCTTGAAGCCAGTGTACCAACTTGACCATTTCTCATCATGCTTTGGCATAAGGTGTCAGCCACAGGGTGTAGGCTATAACCTGATCAGACCTTATTTCTCACTGTCAGCCACCAGGTCAATGTTTGTGTCATCTGCAAAACTACTTATTATCCCCTCAGGGAGGACAGAGAACACAGGAATTAAAGAGTATTGGGGGGGACAATAATGGCAAGGGATAAGTAGAGTTAGGGATTGGGAATCTAAACAAATGGCTCAATATAACAAGATGAAATGCCATTAAAGATGAGTTAACACATCTGGAAAGCACTGTACAGTCCATAATAAAATAAGATCCAAAAACAGTATAGGACAGGAACAGGTCCTTTGGCCCATCAAGCCTGCACTGACACATTATACTTTTCTAAATTAAAATCATTTTGCTTCTATGCAGTCCACATCCTCTATTCCCTGCTTATTTGTGTACCTGTCAAAATGCTCCTTAAATGTTGCCATTCTATCTGCTTACACCACTTTCTCTGGCAGCCCATTCCAGGCACTTACCACCCTCTGTGTAAAAAAACTTGCCTCACATCTCCTTTAAACATTCCGTCTTTTACCTTAAACTTGTGTTGCCTAGTAATTGACATTTCTATCCTTGGAAAAAGACTCTTGACTATCCATTCTATCCTCTCATCCTTCAAGTGGAAACAAACTAAGTTTGTCCAATCTCTCCTCGTAGCTAATAGTCCAAACCAGGCAACATCGTGGTAAACTGTTCCTGTACCCTCTCCAAAGACTCCATATTCTTCTGGTAGTATGGTGACCAGAACTGTACACTATTCCAAATATGGCCAAAGTAAAGTTCTGTACAGCTGCAATATGATTTGCCAATTTTTAAACACTGTCCCAACCGATGAAGGCAAGTAAGCCATATGCCTTCTCGACCACTTTATCCATTTGTGTTGCCACTTTCAGGGAACTGTGGATCTCTACGCTTAGGTCCCTTTATATATCAATGTTTCTAACGGTTCTGCCATTTATTGTATACTTCTCTCCTGCATTAGACCTTTCAAAACGCATTGCTTGCATTTGTCCTGGTTAAATTTCATCTGCCATTTCTCTGTCCAAGTCTCCAGTCTATGTGTATCCTGCTGTATGCTGTAGCAATTTGCTTCACTATCTGCAGATCCCCCAATCTTTGTGTCATCCACAAATTGACTAATACTTACATTCTCCTCCAAATCATTTAGATACACTACAAACAACAGAAGTCCCAGCTCTGATCCCTGTGGAGCACCACCGGTCATAAATCTCCAGTCAGAAAAATAGCCTTCCACTGTTACTCTCTGCCTTCTATGACCAAGCCAGTTCTGTATCCACCTTACCAATTCACCACTGACCCCATGTGATTTCCAACTTCTTTCTCAGCCTGCCAATGACAGTCCTTGTCAAAGGCCTTGTTAAAGTCCATGTAGACAACATCTATCACCTTCCCTCATCAATCATCTTTTTCACTTCCTCAAACAACTCAATTCAAGTTTGTCAGACATTACCTTCCTCACACAAAGCCATGCTGCTTATTGCTAATAAGTCCGTATTTTTCCAGACATGAATAAAACCTGTCCCTCAGAATCTTCTCCAATAATTTCCCTACCACTGACATAAGTCAGACTGGCTCCACGCAAAAATTCCCTCCTTTGTGCTTGAGTGGACCTATCCTTTCCCTAGCTACCCTCTTGCTTTTTATATATATAAAGTATCATGGGATTTTCCTTAATCCTGTTTGCCAAAATAGTTTTGCGACCCCTTTTACCCCCTGTTTCTTTTTTGCTATCTTTGTGTTCTTCAAGGGCTCTGTGTGTCTTCAGTTTCCTAAACCTTACATATGTTCTCCTTTTTCTTTTTGACTGAGCTCTCAATTTCTAACTTCATCCATAGTCCCCGGATCTTGCCATCCTTATCCTTCATTTTCACAGGAACATGCTGGTCCTGAACTCCATCAACTGACCTTTGAAAAATTCCCACATGCGAGATGTAGATTTACCCCCAAAAGCCTACATTCCCCAGTTCCTGCCTAACACTGTGGTAGTTAGCCTTCCCCCAGTTTAGTATTTTCACCTGAGGACTACTCTTACCCTTATCCATAAGTAAAACTTACAGAATTACGGTCACTGTTTACGAAATGCGTCCCCACTGTAACCCGGTTGGGCTCATTCCCTAATACCAGGTCAGTATGGCCCCTTCCCTGGTTGGACTGTTTAGAGATTGTTTCAAAGAATCCTCCTGGATACACCTAACAAATTCCCTCCATCCAAGCTCCTGGCATTAAACAAGTCAGTAGAGGAGAAGTTAAAATCACCACCAGAACAACCCTGTTGTCTTCACATTTTTCTATAATCTGTCCCTCTATATCTGTTCCTTTATCACCCTTTGGCTGTTGGGAGGCCTGTAGTACAATTGGATCAAGGCGATTCCATCCTTGTTATTCCTGAGCTCTACATATGGCTTGGTTGGATGCACTCTCCAAGGTATCCTTACTCAGTTTGGCTGTGATATTTTCCCTCATCAGTAACACAACTCCCCACCTCTTTTACATGTCTTTCTATCACGCCTGAAACATCTAAATCCCAGGACGTTAAGTTGCCAGTCTTGTCCCTCTCTCACTATACTTCACAAGTACAGGCAGCATCCAAGTTGTGAATGGGTACTGTTCTGGCATCTCTTCACAAATTGATTTGTACACAAGTTGGAACACAATGCCGAACAGTAGAAAGCAGCCGTTTGCAAATGTACGAAATGTATGTATATTAGGTCTTTAAAATTAAACCTCTGGACGAGATAGGTATGAGCTTTCAAAAGTCAGAATTTTATAAATCAGGGATCACCTGTATGTGGAATCTTCAGATATCTTCATGATGCAAGTTTAGAATTTCTTATCAAGTGGTTCTGCAGAGTTTGAAACATGTGTTAGTGGGAAGATTGGAGTAGAATATAGAATTAGCAGTCAACCTTCAGTAGTTTAGACATTAAGTCTGGTGGATCTGAAACAATTCAACTTTGGGTTCTCAGAATTTAATGCTTTATATAGGTTTTTGATGTCATTTCTTCTGAAAATAGGCACACATGAGAAAGGTTAGGTTGGGAGGCACGTACTTGTAATTTCTCCTCTCTCTACCCTCGCCTCTCTCTTATCCCACTCTCTCCTTCCCCCTCTCTGTCCAACCCATCCCCTCCCTTCCTGCCCTCATGCCTCTCCCCCCTCTCCCTCTCTCCTCCTCTCCTCCCATCCCAGGTCCCACACTCTGTTCCTCTCTCTCCTGTTTCCTCCTCCTTCCCCAACTCCTCATGCCCTCTCTGTCCCATCCCCTTCCCACTCTCCCCCTCCCTCTCGCCCCTCCCACTGTCTTTTCCCTTCCTCTCGCCCCTCCCACTGTCTTTTCCCTTCCTCTCCTTACCCTCCCTCTCTGCCCCACATCTACCTCCCATCACTGCTGCCCTCTTTCCCTCCTCACACCCCCTCCCTATCCCTCTTCCTCACTTCTCCTTCCCCTCCCTTCTGTTTCTCCCCCTTTCTCTCTCTCCTCACCATAACTCGCCCCCTCCCTCTCCTCACCTCCCTCTCTATCCCCATCTATCTCCCACAACTATCTCCCTCCCCCTCCCCCTCCCCCTCACAACTTCCCCCCACCGCCTCGCTCCGTCCCTTCCCTCTCTCCGCCTCCGTCTCCACCTTTCTCTCTCCCATACCCCTCCCTTTCTGTTCCCTCCATATCTTCCCTCCACTCTCCCTTCCACCTTTACATCACTCCTCCTCTCCACCTCTCACTGACGCCCGCTCCCCCCGCCCCTTCTCCTCCCTGTTCCCTTTCTCTGTCTCCTCTCTGACTTGTTACTCCTCTGTCTGTCAGTTTCGTACGGAGTCGCTCGTCTCTGGGAAATGAAAGTGAAAGTGAAGGGGTGGGTGCGGAGAGAGAGAGAGACAGAGCAATCACAGCCTTGGGTGCACAGAACTGCATTCGGAGCCGCAGCGGAGGGAGACTCAGTGAGTATTCGGGGGAGACAGAGAGAGAGAGACCGGGAGAGGGCACAGAGTGTGTGTGGAAGGGGCAGTGGGAATAGTGTTAAAACGAGATGCGGCAATGAGGAACCAAAACAGAAGTTGCTGGAAAAGCTCAGCAGAACAGTTCGATGAAGGGTCACCGGACCCGAAACGTTAACTTTGATTTTTTTTCTTCATAGATGCTGGCAGACCTGCTGGACTCTTCCTCAGAACTGTTGCTGGTTCTGTTTTGGTTGCTTGGGGACTTCTCGGTTTTGCTGATGTGCTCAATCTGATTTCTTGCTGTCCATCCTCAGGTTTCTCGGATGATGCCACGGCTAATTGTGCTGCATCGTACAGAACTGATGTGAATCTTTCGGACTGTCTTTGCTGACAGAGGTCAGTGGCTCCGAGGTAGTGAGGGGACATTAGATGAATTTGCCCCGTGTGCTTGACTGACGTCGGTGTTTCTGACCTCTGAGCCCCATCCCCCGCCCACCTCCATTGAGTGTTAGCTCTTTCGAGATTTTTTATTTTTATAATCAGTAGAGGGATTTTATTATTGAATTCTTTATAAGGCCTTCAAGCAAGTGTGATTAAAGCCAGATCAGTGTCACACTCTAATTGCAGGGCCAGAGTCACCCCAGGTCCCATTAATCAGGGTGATGAGGGCTATGAAACCTCTAAGCTGGCATAGTCAATAAATATTCACACCCATTGTGGAACTCCTAGACTCACAAAATGAATGGCAGGGACAGTCTGTACCAGCTTGTTGTAGTTAACCTGGAAGTGGAGGCATGGCACAGACATCGGAACCAGTTTTTGCAACTGGAATAGATAAGGTTGATTAATGAATTTGCCTCTTTGTTAGAGGAGAGGTTGAAGCTGAATTAAAAATGTGTCACTAAACTAATCTCCGGCTGCCAACCTGAAAAACCCTTTATCCCTATTCTCCGCCTTCTGCCAGTCAGCCGATCCTTTCTCCATGCCAGTTTCTTGCCCCAAACACCATGGGCTCTCACCTTATTTAGCAGCCTCCTGTGCAGCAAGGCCTTCTGGAAATCCGAATAGATCACATCCACTGGCTCTCCTTTGTCTAACTTGCTTGTTATCTCTGTTATTCTCTGACTGTCTGTTATTCTAAACTCGTGGAAACACTAACTGCCGTTCCTAGATCATAGGAGCTCTGACCTCAATCTCAACTAATGGGATGTCTGACTGTCCCTCCCAATTCTCAAGATAATTGACTGTTACTCCCAATTTACAGAATGTCTGACCCTTCATCAGAGGTCTAGGCCCGAAACGTCAGCCTTCCTGCTCCTATGATGCTGCTTGGCCTGCTGTGTTCATCCAGCTCTACACCTTGTTAACTCAGGAGATCTTATTGTCTTTCATAAGGGTCTGACTATTCTTCCTGGGTCACAGGAGATCAGACTGTTATCCCTTTCTCCTAATAGGTCTGACCATCATTCCCAACTCAGAGAAAGACTGACTGTTACACAAAGCTTGTAGAAGGTCAGACAGTCACTCCTAGCTCATGACAGGCCACACTCCCAACTCACGAGATCTGACTGTCAGTGCCAACTCATGGGGAGTCTGTTTGTCACTCCCAACTTATAGGAGGACTGACTGTCACTCCCAACTTGTAGGAGGACCGACTGTCATTCTCAAGTCTCAGGAAGACTGGCTGTTATGCTGTACCTCACAGGGAAGATCTGACTGTTATCCCCAAATCATGAGTGGCCAGACTGTTGCACCCACAAGATGTCCGCCTGTCACTCCCAGCACACAGGAAATCTGACTAACTTCCAGATCACAGGAAATCTGACTGTCATTCCTGGCTCAAAGTGGATGACTAACATACTCATGTCATGGGAAGTCTGACAGTCACTCCCAGCTCATCAGAGGACTATAGACTAGTTAGTTACACTTTTCTTTATTCATTCACGGGATGAAGGCGTCACTGGCTAGGCTGCATTTATTACCCATCCCTAATTGACCAGAGGGCAGTTATGAGTCAACCACATTGCTGTGGGTCTGGAGTCACATGTAGGCCAGACCAGGTAAGATATTAATGAACCAAAGACCTCAAAGACATTAATGAACCAAATGGGGTTTTCCAACAATTGGCAGTGGATTTATGGTCATTATTAGACTCTTAATTCCAGATATTTATTGAATTCAAATTCCATCATCTGCCATAGCGGGATTTGTACCAAAACGTCAGCCTTCCTGCTCCTCTGATGCTGCTTGGCCTGCTGTGATCATCCAGCTCTACACCTTGTTACCCTAGAACATTATCTGGTTCTCTAGGTTAATAGTCCAGTGATAATACCACTAGGCCATTGCTTCCCCTTCTATCATGAGGAAGTTGCTGGAGTCAATCATAAAGGAGAGATAACTGACCATTTGGAAAAACGAACTTCAATTCACCAGTGTCAGTATGGTTTCATGAAGGGCAAATTGTGATTGACAAACTTGCTGGAGTTCTTCAAGGTTCGGGTAAATGGGTCCTTCTCTGGATAGCGAACTGTAATTAGTGGGGTGTTGCAGGGTTCAGCTATCAGACCTCATAATTTATATCAATGATCTGCAAACAGAATGTATCATAGCAAAATTTACAGATGATACTAAAATAGATGGGAAAGCAGACTGTGACAAGGAGATAAAGAGTTTACAGATGGATACAGATAGACTAGGAGAATGGGCCAGAATCTGGTAGATGGAGTTTAATGTGGACAAGTGCAAGGTTAATCATTTTGGCCAGAAAAATAAAGGGCAACTTATTATTTAAATGAGAAGCAGATTCAAAGTGCGTCAGTGCAGAGGGATCTGGGCAGCATATAATAAGAAAGGCAAATGAAATCCTAGCATTTATTGCACAAGGACTGAATTAAAAATGTAAAGAAGTGTTGTTACAATTATATAAGACGTTGGTGAGATCACAGCTGGAGTACTGTGTCCAGTTTTGGTCTCCTTACTTGAGGAAGGATGTGGTGGTACAGGCAGCAGTTCAGAGGTTCACCCAGGTTGATTCCAGGGGTGAAAGGGCTGTTGTACAAGGAGCGGTTGAATAGCTTGGTTTTGTACTCACTAGAGTTCAGGAATAATGAGTGGGGGATCTGACTGAGGTATATAAAATGCTAAAGGGGGATTGATAAGTTAGATGTTGAACAGATCTTCCCCCTTGTGGGACAATCTCGAACAAGAGGGCATAATATAGTGTAAGAGGAGGTAGGTTCAAAACTGAGATGAGAAGCTACTTCTCTCAGTGGGTTGTGAATCTGTGGAACTCACTGCCCCAGAGTGCAGTAGAGACAGAATCAATCAACAGATTCAAGAAAGTAATAGATATGTTTCTCATGAGAGTGGAATTGAGACCAGGATAAGATCAACCATGATCATGTTAAATGGAGGAGTGGGCTTATAGGGCCAAATTGTCTACTCCTGCTCCTAATTCCTATTTCCTCAATTGTGGTTAAGTAAATGGGCAAAAAGATGGCAAATGCAATATAATGTGGGAAAAATCTGAAGGTGTTCAATTTAGAAGGGAGAATAAAAGAACAAGGTATTATTTAAATGGAAAAGCACTGCAGAAAGCTGCAACACAAAGGGACTTGCAGTTGTTTATGCCTAAAACACAGAAAGCTAGCACACAGGTGCAGCAGGTTAATCAGGAAGGCTAATGGAATGCTGTCCCTTACTTCAAGGGAGTTATAGAGTCATAGAGTAATGCAGCATGGAAACAGGCCCTTTGGCCCAAACTGGTCCATGCTGACCATGGTGCCCACTCAGCTAGTTCCAACTGCCCGCATTTGATCCAGATCCCTCTGATACCTTCCTATCCATGTACCTACCCAAATGTTTTTTAAATGTTGCTTTTGTACCAGCCTCAACCACTTACTCTGGCAGCCCACTGCATATACTGACCATTCTCTGCATGAAGAAGTTGCCCCTCAGGTCCTTCTTAAATCTATCCCCTCTCACCTTAAACCTATGCCCCCTAGTTTTCAATTCCCCATCCCTAGGAAAAAGACTATATGCATTCATCCTATCTATGCCTGTCATGATTTTACACACCTCAATAAGGTCACCCTTCATTCTCCTACATTCCAAAGAATAAAGTCCCATCCTGGGCAACCTCTCCCTGTAACTCAGGCCTATTAGTCCTGGCAACATCCTCATAAATCTCTTTGCACACCTTCTAGTTTAACTATGTCTTTCCTATAACAGGGTGACCAAAATGGTACACCATACCGTGACTTTTTCCTAGGGTGGAGGTAGCTATTATGAGGGGGCATAGTTTTAAAGTGAGTGGAGGTAGATATAAGAGAGACGTCAGAGGTAGGTTCTTTACTCAGAGAGTGGTCGGGGCGTGGAATGCATTGCTGGAGAGTGTAGTGGAGTCGGCCTCATTGGGGGTATTTAAGCAGCTATTAGATAGGCATATGGATGATAGTATAAGGTAGGGGTGGAGGTTAGATAGACCTTAGGATTAGGGTAAAAGTTCGGCACAACACTGTGGGCCGAAGGGCCTGTGCTGTGCTGTACTGTTCTATGTTCTATGTTCTATACTCCAAGTGCAGCCTCAGCAATGACTTATACAACTATAACATAACGTCTCAACTCCTATACTCAATGCCTCAACCGATGAAGGCCAGCATGCTAAATGTCTTCTTCACCACCCTGTCCACCTGTGATGCTGCTTTCAATGAACTTTGTACTTGTACTCCTAGTTCCCTCTGCTCCACAACACTCCTCAGGACCTTACCATTTACTGTACAAGTTCTACTTTGGTTTGACTTTCCAAAGTGGAACACTTCACACTTCTCTGTATTGAATTGCATGTGCCAATCCTCAGCCCACTTCCTCATCAGATCACGATCCCTCTATAATTTCTGATAACCTTCTTTGCTTTCAACGATAACTCCTAATTTTGTATCATCCACAAACTTACTAATCATGCCTTGTACATTCACATCCAGATCAGTTATGTAAATAACAAATAACAAAGGTCCCAGCCCCAACCCCTGTGGCACACCACTAGTCACAGGTCTCCAGTCCAAGAAACAACCTTCAACTATCACCCTCTGCTTCCTACCATCGAGCCAATTTTGAATCCAATTAGCTAGTTCTCTCTGGATCCCATGCAACCTAACTTTTATGACTAACCTGCCATGCGGAACCTCGTCAAAGGCCTTACTAAAGTCCATGTAGACAACATCCACTGCCTTACCTTCATCCATCCTCTTGGTTACCCCTTCAAAAAACTCTAAACGATTTGTCAGACATGACATCCCGCACACAAATCCATGCTGACTGTCCCTAATTGGACCTTTACTATCCACATGTTGGTTGATCCTGGCCCTCGGTATCCTGTCTATTCGTACTCCTGATCTCAGGCTCGCTGGCCT